GGTGCTCTTTTTCTTCTTAAATTTCTACACTGTGCTTTAAACAGCTGCCACCAGGTGATAGTAGAGTGAAACTAGAACTTTCCTGCCTGTCTCGGTCCATTTTCTGGTGCTATAGTCAAATATCTGAAACTGAAAAACTTATAAAGCAAAGAGATTTATTTTGGCTCATGGTTCTGGAGTCTGGGAATCCCAAGTACATGGCACCACAATATTAATTAATATTATTAATAAGGAATATGCCTCGTGTTACTCCCTTCTCACAACCTAATCATCTCCTAAAAGCCCTACCAGTTTGCAACCCTGTTACACTGGGAACTAAATTTCAACATGAGTTTCAAAGGAGACAACCCATAATCAAAATAGAGCACTCCCCACGATTCTATATTTTTAAATTTTAGATTTGAAATGAAGTATTGGTTAAAATGACAAAGCTTCCCATTTGAAATATTTGGTCATTTGATATACAATGAATCACATTCTGAGCCAGAGCAAACTTTTAAGGAGTATTAATGCAAAACTTAAGGAATATTAATAAGAAATACGTCTGTTACTCTTCTTGCTAATTTTTAACTGCTAGGAGCCACTGTACAATTAAACCCTGCTTCTATTTCCCAAACAAGTAGAAATAGTTTCTCTGATATTTATCTTAAAATTACAAACCTTATGCAGTTTTAAAGTTCACATACACACCTCCCCAACCCATCAGGGATTTAAAGTAGGTTTATAAGTTATTTTCTCAGGCCTTTAATATTAAATGTTTACCAATGAACAAGTTTCCAGGAAGAGCATGCAAAGTTGCTTTCTTAGAAATCCCCGGTGTTCTCAAAGTGACTCCTGTTTACACCACGTCCCTCCTCATTCTTTAAGTGACCACAAGCCACCTGCATCTTGGTGTGGCTTCCTGCTAAAGGGTCCACCAATTTGGAAATACATATATGGGAAACACTGTTATTTACCCCAGAAGAGGTTGGCCACTCCGATGCTCCAATGAGGGGAATTTTCCCCTCCAGTGTAATTTGTTCACTAATCCCTTTCCCACTGAAATTCAGATGTGTTATAAGATCTAATTAGACTTAATTGTATAAAATTCTCTATTAACTCCCCAAACAGAACCATTTCTCCTAACAAATCTGCTTCTATTTTTCCAAGAAATCAGGTCTTCTTTGTCCACCTGAAATGCATTTTGTAGAACATTTTAATAGAACAAGAACAGTTTTTATTCAAAATTGATCTGGGGCTTCTTTAGAAATTTTATAACATTGTATCTTTGAACAACTTCTCATTAACCACTTGCCAAATCATTTGGTATTATCCCCACTGATCCTTAACTCATCCTTTAGCTTAGAAAGTCATCTTGAATTCTGAGTCGAGAGTCTTTTAATCTGAACCTCCCACCTGGACCTCCTGCACACCAATCCGTCATGTATGCCTCAAGAGTAACCAAGGATATTTTTGCTTCTAGAATTTTCCTTCATTCTTTGCTCTTCCTAGATATCCTTGCACATTTGCTTCTCTTTTTGTTTTTTGTTTTATTTGTAATAACTCCCTTAATTGTTCCTTTTTTTTCTTTAGCTAGAATCAGATGCAACCTTATTCTGATTACAAATTGCCCCCAGTTTAAGAGAGTTTGTAGCTCCAAGGCAGAATAAGATATTTTTTTAAACTTTACATGTGTAGCATTTACATTTATTTAGCATTTACACTTTAGAATATGTATTTGTAAGGCGATGTAGGCCTGATTTAATAGGTAATACTTAATTTTAATCATTTGATTCTAATTACATTTTATACCATACCTGAGAGCTTCAAAAGAGAGAGACTTTGGAAGATATACATGGAAAAAATATCTGTGTTGGATAAAGTGTTGCAGTCTCTTCTCGGATTATACATGTGTGTATGTGTACAAAATATATATATAGTATATACAGTACCAGAGAGAAGAAAAAAATATATGCTCTGAGTATATGATAGTGTATGTGTGTGTCTGTGTGTGTGTGTACACATATGCATACAATAAAACAGATATACAGTACTGGGAGGAAAAAGTGTAGTCATGTCTGGAGTTATACATATGTGTGCGCACAAGCCTGTGTGTACACAGACACATTCAATCAAATACATGTACAGCACCACGGAGGAAATAATGAATGACATTCCTCCTATTCTCAAGTTTCTCACAACTTAACAAAAGAAAAAGACACATAACATAAAACATAATACAGTGTAATAAATCTAGGTTTTATATGAGTAAAGGACTGTGCATGAACAAAAACAGGTGTATTTAATTAATTGTTCCTCAGGAATTTAGAGTTGACTTGGCTAGATCTTAAAGGATTACTAGAGTTTCTCTAGGCAAAGATTGGAAGATGAGCTAAAGACACAGAGGCAGAAAAGTAAAAAATAATCATGATAATCACATAACGGGGATTTATAGAGCAAAGATTTTTTCTGGCAAATGGCAGGAGATGAGGACAGTAGTGTAATCTTGGGACCGGAAATTAGGCTCCTTAAAAGCTTTATTAAAACTTCATTCTATTCTCAAAGCAACTAGACACTGCAGAAAGATTTTAGATAAAGAAGTAATATAATTAGATCTGAATTTTAAACAATAATTCAGGTTACAGTAAGAAGATTATATGTAAAGATGAGACAAGCTGAAAAAATCAATTAGGAAGCTATTGCAAAGTTGTTGCTTATGATTATGAAAATCTATTCCAGGGGTATTACAGTGAGAGATGAAAAAGAAAAAATATGAAAAAAGGAAAAAATGGAAACAAAGTCTTTATAAATAGGGAAGGGTGAAGGGGGTGAAGGGAGGGCTGGGGTATGGGGAAAAATAAGAACCAAGACATATCATGTAAAGGTACAAGATCCCAATGATAAATGCATTGTTTGCTTTACATGTATCAATAAACTTAATGGGAAAAAAAAGAAAAGGAGAACTAACTAGAGCCATTTTAGAAGTGGAAACTGCTGGGTTTAGTGATCAAATGATTGCATAGAATTGGGGAAAGAAGAAGAAAAGATACCGGGAGAGTATTGGTTGGATGATTGGATATATGGAATTGTGATTAGCTAACACTAAGAAAACAGTCTTTTGGCAGAGAAAGGTACATAAGAAACATTCAAACTGAGGGAGAAACACTCAGGAGGAGATTTATAGGAGGCAGTTAGAACTCATAAGAGAGGCTAGACCTAGCTTTAAGACTCATAGTTGAAGCTATAAAAGATAAGGTCAGGACCAGGGATTTAGCTCAGTGGTTCTACCACCTGCCTCACAAGAGCAAGGACCTGAGTTAGATCCCTGATATGAAAAAAAAAAAAAAAGCTAAGGTCAACACCAAGGACAAAGTACACAGAGTGAAAAAAAGAGCCAAAAACAAACAAACAAACAAACAAAAAAGCCTCCAGTGACCATCACAACAAACGGAAAAGAGAACAGGAACCAGAAAAACCCTAGAAAGTGGTGGTGAAAGGTAGGAAAAGCAGTGTGTGAACCAAGACAGAAGGCAAAGAAGGCTGCAAAAAGTAGGAAGAGGCCAAAGGTGGCAAGATGTCTGAAAAAGAGGTTGGTGCTGAGTATTCATGCACTAGAAGAACAGCAATTTCAAGAGAGTCAGGAAAGCAAGCCAGATCCTCAGGGACACAAGGAGGAGGAGCAGAGAAATCCGGGACAGCTAGCTCCAAAGCCAATGAATGAATGACTCAAGAGGAACAGCAGGATTAGGAGATGGTTTGCACTGATTTTGAAGTACAGAAGTGTTATACAGCATATATATCCCAACCTCTAGTTCGTCACCATTAAATTTAGAAAAACAGAGGCCTGGTTTTCCATGTGACTTCAACTCCTTAAGCTCCTGCTTCATTGCAACTTGACTAAAATCCTGCATGTGTAAACAGTTAAGACATGTTTTACCCGTGATGCATGATACATCTCTCCTACCCATGGTTTTACAACCAATGGAAAATGTTATAAAATAACATGGTCCCACAGCAAAATAGGGCATTACAACTTAGATAATTTAACCATGAATGAGCATCCACCTTGGGAATGTCAGGACAGAAGAGTACTGAACAGGTCAGGCACAAACCCCACATCCTACGACTGACAGAAGCCAATGACAAAGCTTGGAAGATTTCAGGAAGGAGAGAAGAAGAAGGAAATAGTATATGAGACACTACAGAAAGATTATTTCCAGAAGAACAAGGTGTCAGGAAGTAAAAGGAGCCTTCTTTATGTGGGATGAGAATGTCACTGGAACCTTGAAAGAGAATTTTCAGTCAAAAGATGAGGTAGAAGCCAAACCTACAGAGTGAACAGATGGTAATTCTAAGTTACCCTTCATTTCTGGGTACCTTGAGTGATTTTTCTTCCATATAT